TAATTTTAGCTTTGATCAATAAAAAATATTTCAAAATTTACTTAGTTTGACTAAGTTTAAAGTGTGATACGTAGTATGTCCTAGAGAATGTATAAATATGATATTTCTGTTTTAAGTATGATACCAATTCGTTAACCAAGGTTCATAACTAATTTTACATATTTTATTTATCAATACAACTAAAATACATATAAAATCATGACTTTTGTTCTCAATATATTACGGTCAACCATGAGCAAATATCAATTTAACAAAAAAATTACATCACATAGTCCCAATTCATGAATCATAAATAATTTCAAATAAGCATAATCATTAGTCGACAATACAACCTAACTCACACAAGCTCATACAAAATAAGAATTTATATTTTTAAAATTTTTTTTAAATGTTTCATATTTTTTAGCATACACACAAACAAACAAATATAGCAAACTAACTAAACTACATCTCAAACTTAAAATGGTACATTGTCCTCAATTTTTGCATATAATTGCTTAAAGAATGGTTAGCAATACTAGCCGTGTATATGTTGTCCCTCCTTTAGCAATTAGCCTTTTATCTTCATTTAGTCTTATTTACTTATTCTGCAGAATATTCTCATCACACCAAGAAGGAGATAAGAGAAATAATTATCAATATAATCGCACGGGAGTTTAGGCTAACTTGATTCGAATTATTTATTTAACTTAGTTGTGACCTAGAAAAACTAAAATAAAAAGAAAACTCTAAATTTTCTTATTTTGTAATTTTTTTTTTTGAATTTTCAAATAAAAAATTAATTTTTAATAAGAATAAGAAAAAAAAAAAAGAAAAAACTAAGTTGCCTCCACATAAGCACTCAATTTAATAAAAAAATTAATGAAATTGGAAGATTGCATATTAATTCCATCTTCATTGAATGCCCACGATCGTTTGGATCCATTATGATTAATTCATAGGTCTTTTCATGTTCTTCTTCTTTAGTTTCCTGTTTCTCAAGCTGAATGATGAATAGATCCCCCATAAGCATGCTATTTGTCTCATCCAAAACTATTGGGTTTTAATCCTTTTATATTTTTGCATGGCAAAGACATCTCCCACAAGTATGTCAATATCATCATCTTCCATCTCCCACAAGTATGTCAATATCATCATCTTCTACAATGGATCGTTCTTGAATTTTTTTTTTCCAATTCATTTGAAGTGTTTAACAAAAGAAATTCTTAATATAATGCATAGTCGAAAAGTTTGTACAAGTCGAATTCATCTCCCCATCAACAACGGGTGAGATAAATAATCCAACTGGCAAGTCACCATCATCAAAGTTCTACACGTAATTTATATTCCGTCATCTGCGACATATGGATCATCCAAGAAATATTTCTCCAATTCATGTGGAGTAGACAACAACAAGCGATAATTAATATAATGCATAGGCCCCCAATTTTCATAAGTCGGACCCCTATCCTGATCGACAATCGAAGGAAGAAATATATCACTAAGAAATTACCCTCGTCAAGTTTGACTAGTAATTTATGATTCGTCATGTAAAATTGTTGTATTGACAAAATCTCTCCTACAAGCATGTCACTGTCATCAATCTCGAGATCAATTATTACATATTTTTGTTTCTATCTTACTTCATTTCACTCCATGTCAATGAGTCAAAGAAAAAGAAGTAGATTGGCTGAAAAAAAAAATTAAATAAAAGCTAATAATAATAATAGTAGTAGTAGTAGTAGTAGTAGTAGTAGTAGTAGTAGTCTATGGCAACGACATAAAAAATTTGTGAATATTTTATAATAAGTGTACGATATCGTGAACAAATAATAAGTCCAAATTAATGTTCCCACACGTACTCCATTGAAAACAATTAAATGTGATTCCTTTTTTGGCCTTATTTTAAATATACTAAAATAATTAACAAATTCTAAAGTGATGTTTTTAATGATGATTTAAGTGTTAAGATTCACGAATTCACAATAGTTGTTCCTCAATTTCAATCACAAATTTTGATAACAATTAATTATATGTACCCAATTGAATTCCTCTATATTAATTAATTTACCTCTCTCGAGTTTCAAGAGTCGGAGTAAATAAACGACAATCTCACTTCGAAACTGCTTTGATGTTCTTTTCTTTGCCAAGCAGCTTTAAAAAAGGTGCTTGTACAAGGGGTAAAGTGAAGGAGTCGAAGCTAATCATAGGGAGATGAATGCTTGATTCACTTCTATATGCAAGTAGAACTTGGGTGCTCCCTTTGCTTGCTGACCTGAAATTGACAAATAAGAACTTAGGCTTGGGTTAGTCTCAACTGTGTTGCTTGATAAAAGAAGCTGTTTTGGGTGATTCCGCTGGACTCGTCGTACCAATCTATTTTATGTATTGTACCGGTCTCTTCCTTATTTGGATTCGAATAAAGGTGAGTGGCAAAGTCTGGTTGAAAATCAAGCATACTCAATCAAGTCAACTCACCATATCTTTATGTGAATCTGAATAAACATTAATCAAGAGTACTCAATAATCAATTCAATAATGAGCAGACCCATAAAGAGTATTTTTACCCTTTCATCTTATCTGCATCTATCCTTGCATTTTAAGGGGCTACGGTTTTAAGTCCCTTCTTAATCACATCTTCAGTTCTTCGTATTTAATTTTTTCACAATTTAATCCTTTTTATTTCAAAATCATTAATTATTTATCTGATGTAAGTTTAGAAGATTTACATTTTAGTCTTCAATTTTTCCGAATGTTGATTAACCGCCGAAATTTATGAATTTCTACAAATGCTTATTAATTCTTCTAATAGATCATATGCAATCTGGATAATCTTCAATTACCTCGAATCTTCTCCAATGAATCTCCAAAAAAGTTTTTTTTTTTCACTTCAATGTATTCAAATTGAGGTTCACTTTTTTTTTTTCTTTTTCTTTTTTTCTCTCCTTATCGTTAACATTATTTACACAAAATTTAGTTTATACTCGCTCAATCTAGCAATAAATACATAAAAAATAGTAGCCCAAATAATCACGAACAAGTAGAACTTAATGGTGGACTATGAGATTATACGTAAACTACAAAATAAATTAATTTTGAAGTGAGGTCAGTTTAATCCAATAGTTCATCTCACAAATAGAACAATTAACTTTGAGACAATAATTAAATCAGAAAATTAATTAACTAATCGATAATTATCTAAGTTTTAAACTTTCAAAATGATTGCCATCAATTGAGAAACATTTTTAGATCAACATCTTACATAAGGAAACAAGGCTGTCAATTCTCTATCGAAGAGAAGCATGAAGAAAAATCAGCAACTCAGAAAGTAATATGCCCTTTGTTGTAACGCATTA